ACTATTCCATTAGTCAAAGTGTTGTGGAGAAATCACAAGGTAGAAGAAGCAACGTGGGAACGTGAAGAGGACATGAAGATTCAATATCCCCATCTCTTTGTACAATAAAAATTCGAGGACGAATTTTCTTAAGGGGGAGAGATTTGTAATACCCCAAAATACGGGTTAGTGACTAAATTGTAAAACTTTAGAATTTGGTGATTAAAGTAGAATAATTGGATAATTCAATGATTTATCTGGAAGGATTGTTAGTAATTATTAAAGGAATTAAAGGGCAAAATGGTCATTTAGCATGAAAGATATTTTTTCCCAATATTATGAATGAATCACGTGGGGTTGGGGGAAAGAATTATCTGAAAACTCTTTCTTCTTCATTCCTTTTTCTCCCAACCGTGGAAGCTAGGCAAAGGTAAGAGTTTTCTGATTTATTGGTTATTTGTTAAATTAAAGGTTAGGTTTTGATCATTAGATGATAACTAAGCTTAAGGAAAGCTTAAGTTGTCTTATAATCAAAAGATGAAGAAGTTATAAGAGATTTAAGAAAATGAGTTTTTATATGAAATCATGGAAAAGAGTTGATAAGTTGAATTTGAAGTTAAATTTGACTTGTCATCATGCTAATTAAGGAATATGAAGTGTTAAAATTGTATTTATAACATATTGAAATTTGAGTATGATTCTTGAATTACATATTAAGGATAGGATTTTGAAGTTATAGATGATTTTCATGGATATAAGTTGGTTTAAGTAATGGTAGTTGAGTTTAATGACATGATAGGTACTTAAAATAGAAGAATTAAGTGAAGAATTGATGATTTTCGGGGTTAAAATACAATTTATGAGTAGAGGGAACCGATACCCTATGAATAGGAATCGATTCCCCCTAAATGAAAAAAAATGGAATTTGATTCATTAAACCGATTTAAGTTATTAACATCAAGTTTAAAGTTTAGGCTTCTGATAGTTTTTTTTGAAATGATATATTTATGTAGATATTAAGCCTAAACAAGTTTCAGAATAATCAAAGGATTATAATCGAATCAAAACAAGGCTAAGGTGAGTGCAATTTTAATTGTACTTATATTATTGAACGAACATTGGCTTGCGATGAGTCAATGATGGAGTTACTACGATAAGAAGTGACTCCTAAAATGTTATTTGATATGTGATTCTTATATGTACATGAATACATGGCATGCATAAACATAAGAGCATGAAACATAAGATATATGATATACATGATTATATGCATATGTGATATATGTTATGAGATATGATCAATGTGAAATAAAATAAGCTATGTGAATATATGAAATGACATATGAATATGCAATATGTGATATGATATGAAATATATGGTTACACATACATGTGGTATGTGACAGAAGAGAAATAACAAGTGATGAGAAATATATTCATAATAAATGCCCATAGTATATGATACGAGAGCTATAGGTATAGTTGGCATGCCAAGAGTCGAGGGTATTGTAGTCCTTCGGGACGTAGTCCTTCGGGACGTAGTGGTCCTTCGAGACATATATAGCAGTCCTTCGGGACGAATACTGAACAAATGTTCGGTGCCCCATGAGGGAATTTATACGAGCTGTGGTGACAGTATTAGTGCACAACCTCAATGTACTCACATACCTCTATTCTAAATAATATACATGGGCAACAACAACAGCAATTGAAATATAAATTAAAGTGAAAGTGATACAAAAAGGTAAGTTTCATGTGTGCATAACTTGATTATATATGTCATAGGAAATATATCCATGCATATTGAAATATCATGATCAAATGGTAAGAATGCATTTTCGTGAATCTATTGTTACATGTTTATTTATTTCCTCACTAAGTCTATGACTTAGCGTGTAAGTGATTTACACGTAGGTACCAAGAAACGTGAAGAGCAAGAATAGAAGTGGCAAGGACAATATTATTACTATAAGATCATATCAGAAGTAATCGAGAAAGTATGTATTTTGTTGTGTATAGAGTGTTGGCATGTAATAAGTCGTTAATTATGAACACTCTGATCGAGTTTGTATTTTGTGAACTCTTTTATGTAAATTAAAGTATTTTGTTTTAAACCAAGTTTTAAATTCCCCGGGGTTTTTCTTTAAGTGTCAAGGTTTGAAAAGTCAATATGACACCTCAGACTCGTATTCGGGTCGGGTACGGGTTGGGGTGTTACACTTAATGTGAAGCAATCACATATCCAAGAAATAAGTTGTTTCAATTATACCCATCGTAGATATTTCCTTCAAAATATTACACATGATATCAACATTGACATAGTACTTGAAAAAATACTCTACCATATCATCCATATACAAGGCTTGAGGATTTACTTTTGAAACAAAAATCTTTGATAACAAGTATTCACAATGATCCAAAGATTTGAATGTATACTAATACAGTAAAACATTTACAAATATACATGTTGATTTTAAAACTAAACAAAAGTCCTAACAAGTTAAGTGGATGTGTGAGAAATCATCAATATAATCTCAGTAGTACATCATAAAATCTCATATAATGTCTCATTTGAGAGATTATATAAGGATATTTTAGATGTCATTGAATAAATGAGTAAACGAGTGAATGCTTGAGTGAGGACCACAACAAAAGTTCTCTATAACAGAATGAGGCAGTGAGAATTGTAACTAAATATGAATATATATATCATGCTTTAAACATGGAAAGAATGATGTAAATAATTTTCTGTAGAGGTTCAACAGTTACACCTTCTTGGTAATAGGGGACTCAAAGGTTCTTTGCATAAAGGAATGACTCATTTGGTAGAAACTTATCCCCATTTGTAGAAGAGGTCTTTTATAGGATCATGTTGTCAAGTCATTTCTGATGGTTGTGTCATATATTATCATGCTTCAAAGAGTGTATATAATGATGTAAATAGTTTTATGCATAGGTCCAACAATTATGCCCCTAGAGAATAGTGATTGTAGGTTTTCTTCATAAAAGGATTACTTGTTTCACCAGAAGCTTTTTTCTTTTATAATAAAGATTTTGTGTAGGGTCATATTGTCTAATCATTTCTGACAGTTGTATGATATCTTATTATGTTTTAAACATGGGGAGACAAATCTGAATAACTTACTACATAGGTTTAATAATTATACCCCTCAAGAATAGAGAATTTAGATGTTCTCTGCCTAAAATGAGACTCGTTTCAGTATAAATATTTTGCATGATCATTGTATTTAGTCATTTTCGACAATTGTGTTCTATTCAATCATACTTCAATCATGAAGACAAAGTCGTAAATAGTTCTCTATAGAGGTTTAACAATTACACCCTTTTGAGAGTAAAGGATGCAAATGTTTTCTGTATAAAGGGAAGGCTCATTTGAGCAAAAGTCCTTCCCTTTTGTAACAGAGATTCTTTGCATGGCAATCTTTCCTTGTCATTTTTTACAACTGTGTTTTATCTTATCATTCGTCAAAAATAAAGACAAGATCATGAATAGTTCAATAATGTATAGGTTCAACATTACACCCCACTGAGAATGACAGATATATAGGTTATTTGTATAAAGGAAAACTCTTTATAACATAAGCTATTTCCTTTTGTAGTAGAGATTCTCTACAAGGTCATCTTATCTGATTATTTATGACAGTTGTGTCATATTATATCATACTTCAAACATAAAGACAATGATGTGGATAATTCTCTGCAGATGTTTAACAGTTACATCTCATCGAGAATAAGGAATACAAAAATTCTCTGAATAAAGGGAAGACTAGTTTTAGTAGAAGTTCTTCTGATCTTCTCATTTGTATAGAGATACTCTACGAGGACATCATGCTTTAAACATACAAATAATGATGAGTTTTTCAACTTTAAAATTAAGTGTTATGATTCATATATATATATATATATATATATATATATATATATATATATATATGAATGATGTTTGGTATGTTCAATTTAATATATAAACTCCCAAACTTATAAGCTCTCATTTCTCAAACTCTCTAGCTCTCACCTCTCAGATTAAAAAGTTCACATGATGGATCGTTTTTATTTTATTATTTCTTCCAAAATTTGTATTGAAAATATTAAAAGTCTTTTTGTTGCATTCCACTGAACTAGTTCTGTCAACACGTACAATATTTTATCTTTTCAATGACGATGACGTTAATATGATGATTGACGTTCATAATGCCCATTATGTAGGTCATGTAGAGATCTACATACAATTTGTTGAAGTTATGAGGGGTCGTTTAAGATTGTATGCCTCTTACTATGAGTTAGTTGATCAAACTGATAACATAATTCAAACATTCTGTAATGATTTCACATCATTAATAACAAATTCTAATACAATGATACCCTCTACCTCAATGGGAGAAGACATTTATTAGTTATTGTGTACGATTTCAACTAAGTTATACTATCCACTCAATATATAACACATGAACAAACATCCCTTTAGGTTCAACGAAGAAGCATTCCTCTGTTAACTTCTTCGATTCTTAACATCAAAATACCATCAAAACAATATTCCTTGCATAACCCTTATTTTGATATATCTTCTAGTTCGATGAGAAGACATTTTTAAACTGTAACATTTGACCTGAATGTATATATATCTACCGATGATATAGATGAAACAAATGATTATTTGTAAAAAAAAAAATCTCAATCCAAAATGAACCGTCTCGAACTCAATTTGAACAATCCAATTACCATATTTGTTAAATACTACTATTATTTTTCTAATTCTAATCGTCTTGAATGAACGCTAGTAATTTAATTAAATAAAAAATCATTCTTAATAACAAATATCACTCTAAGATTTTTTTTAAATTTTAAATAAAATAAATATTTTAGAAAATTAAGTGTCAAAGATGGTTATTAGTAAGAAATTGAGCTAATCGTTACTAGGTAATCCATATTTTATGAGAGAAAATGTTTTGTTTTGGCCATATTTAATTTAGAAATAGTTGCATCTAAATTTTAACATTTACTAAAATTCACGACCCTCTTTCGTCTCTCTTCCCACATCCTCCGCCGCCTGTCAAATCCCTCACCCAACCCTCTCTTGCCTCCGACGGTCCAGGAAATCAAATAAGGTACTTTTCTAAACCCTAAACGTAAATTCAAGATCTCCACTTCAATCATGAAATTTTGATTTTTTTTATTTCCTTACTTCAAAATTCAGTACTGATATCTCTTGTTTGAAAGCCGGCAGTTGTGCCTACTTTGTTCATGGCTCTAATCGATCTTCTTCTTCTTCTTCTTCTTAAAGATATTCTTCCTCGTGGTTGCTTTTGAATTGATTATTTGTGTGTAATTCTTATTTGAAGTGTATCTGTTGTCTGTTTGTCTCTCTCGTCAAGGGGAAAAATGATATAAAGGAGCTTTGGTTCTTTAATTTTTAGGTATTTTTGGTACAGGCTCACTTTATGTTCAGAAAGCGTACACTTGCCCTCTTTCAGATCTAGCATTTCTTGCTGTTTCTTAAAACGCATAATACCAGGGCTGCTCTTGTGAGCTTTTCTTTGTTTCCTTATTGATAATAACATCTCTCTGTCATTGTAAGCCATGATGTTTTCTCCTTTTCTTCCTGTTTTTGTTTCGAGTTTTCTGCGTTGATCTCATCTACATGCAGTGTCCACTATAGTTTTAAATGTATTCTTTTTCGGTTGAACTTTATTCTTATCTAAGATGAAATTTTTTAAGCATCTCTATATCTTTTGAATAAAGCTTTTAAAAAATCTTCTTAACATTCAAGCTAGTCTTATGATTCTCCCTTTCTTGTCTTCTATTACCCTTTGTTAACTAATACTCTTGGTGTTATTGTTAGTGATATTGTTATTTCTTCCTCCTTTATTGTCTTATGATTCTCCCTTTCAAGCTAACCGTTTTCAGATGAAGTATGGTATGCATAATTCTCTAGTTGTGCCTTTCTGATTATCTATCTGAATTGCAAATGCCTTAAGTAACATCTCTGTTTACATGAATTAGGCTTTCAGGAAGCCATCCATGGATCTTATCCAATCGTATGCAGATAGTAGTGATGGTGAAGGCCAATCTCACCAGCCATCTACCTCATCTCCAGACTCTTCACCCCTACGACTCATACCCTCCAAATCTGCTGCACCCAAGGTTGATGACACAATGCTGGCCCTAACTGCAGCAAAAGCTCACCAAGCCCATTCGAAGCCCATTGATCCAACCCAACATGTTGTTTCCTTCAATCCAACCTATGACCAACTTTGGGCTCCTATCTATGGCCCAGCTCATCCATATGCCAAGGATGGCATTGCCCAGGGCATGCGCAACCACAAGCTGGGATTTGTTGAGGATGCCTCCATTGAATCTTTTGTTTTTGATGAACAATACAACACCTTCCACAAATATGGTTATGCTGCTGACCCTTCGGGAAACAACTATATTGGTGATTTGGATGCTTTGCAGAAGAATGATGCCATTTCAGTCTATAACATCCCACAACATGAGCAAAAGAAGCGAAGAATTGAGAAAAAGGACGATGAGATGGAAGAGGATGAGGTTTTGGGTGGTGAGAATGAGGTTGATCCAACAGAGATTGATAATCCAGCTAGTGATGTGTGGTTGATGAAGAATAAAAAGAGTCCTTGGGCAGGTAAAAAAGAGGGGTTGCAAACAGAGTTGACTGAGGAGCAAAAGAAGTATGCGGAGGAGTATGCAAAGAAGAAAGAAGAGAAAGGCCATCAAGGTGAGAAAGGTGAGCACGTGGTGGATAAAACTACTTTTCATGGAAAAGAGGAGAGAGACTACCAAGGAAGGTCTTGGATTGCTCCTCCTAAAGATGCAAAAGCAACCAACGATCATTGTTACATACCAAAGAGATTGGTACATACTTGGAGTGGGCACACTAAGGGTGTCTCAGCTATTAGGTTCTTCCCCAAATATGGCCATTTGATTCTCTCTGCTGGGATGGATACTAAAGTGAAGATCTGGGATGTGTTCAATTCAGGCAAGTGTATGAGAACATACATGGGTCATTCAAAGGCAGTGAGAGATATTTCATTTTGTAACGATGGCACTAAATTTTTGACAGCCGGATATGACAAAAACATCAAATATTGGGATACTGAAACCGGGCAGGTTATTTCTACTTTCTCAACTGGGAAGATTCCTTATGTAGTTAAGCTTAACCCTGATGAAGGTAAGCAGAATATTCTGTTAGCGGGTATGAGTGATAAAAAGATTGTTCAGTGGGATATTAATACTGGACAAATTACACAAGAGTATGATCAGCATTTAGGGGCAGTGAATACCATTACGTTTGTTGATAACAACCGGAGGTTTGTTACTTCAAGTGATGATAAGTCTCTTCGAGTATGGGAATTTGGAATTCCTGTTGTTATAAAGTATATTAGTGAGCCTCACATGCACTCTATGCCATCTATTTCACTTCACCCCAACAATAATTGGCTTGCTGCTCAAAGTTTGGATAATCAAATTCTTATTTACAGCACCCGTGAAAGATTTCAGCTTAACAAAAAGAAAAGGTTTGCTGGGCACATTGTGGCTGGCTATGCTTGTCAAGTCAACTTTTCACCAGATGGACGGTTTGTTATGTCAGGAGATGGAGAGGGTAAGTGCTGGTTTTGGGACTGGAAGAGCTGCAAAGTATTTAGAACTCTCAAGTGCCATGAGGGAGTTTGCATTGGGTGTGAGTGGCATCCTTTGGAGCAAAGTAAAGTCGCAACTTGTGGCTGGGATGGCTTGATCAAGTACTGGTGAGTAACATTTTATATGATGACTTTTTTAGTTTGTTAATTTTGTTGTCGCTCCAATTTCTATATTTTTCTAATGCTTTACTTTATTTTGGTTGGAAGTATGATCATTCTTTAAATATCATTAGTTGGTTAGAAAATTTTGCTCTGCTGCAAAATCCCTTTATCAAGAGCATTACAAACATTTAAACTTCCATCCCCATCTAGAGCATATCACCTCTAGTAGTGCAATCAACCTGTTACAGTACTGAATTGTGTAGGATTGCATTAAAAATAATTTCAGGGGGGATGCTTCCAACATTGTGAGCCACATTTCCCGAGTTCCACTAATATGTTTTCATAATACATGCTTACAATATTGCATATTGCAAAGCAACTCCTATTTGATAGGAAGGGACATTGACATCTTGCTTCAGGTTTCTAGTAGATGGAAATGAAGTCGAGGCTGTCATAATCTGTAGTTTTGTTGGACACACTAACCTTGACATCTGTACCCTCAACTGAGGTCAATAGCTCAGTCAAGAGAGAAATGCTCTGCTATTATTTGTTCTAGTCAACATTAAGAAGCCTTTCCTTCATTGTCAAACAAGAAACAATACAGCAGCTCCTGCATACCTATTCTACTACTCAAACAGCCCTATCAACCCCACCAAAAAACTTCCTTGGCCACTTTGTTATTGTCAGACATGAAAAGATGCATTCACTTTTGGTATTTTATTCCCTTTAAAGCTGTTCATTGTTTTGCAGGGACTAACCTTGTTTGTAAGTGTTTTGGTACGAGAAGACCGGAGAAGGCAGCCAAGTTGAGTTTAGAAAACGGGATTGGAGTCTGTTGGAAATCAAGTGCTCTTAAGAAAATGACGTGACTGTGTAACAATATCTTCTTTTAAGTTGTAAAGCTTTCGCAAGATGTTGTGGTCAACTGTGATGGAATTTCTAGTTTTCTACTTATGTTGTTGCCTGCCTGTTAGTGGATTATAGATAAGATGCTCAGTAATTTCTATTTATTCTTCCATTCTACTTTTGCTTGTAGGATGTGCTAACGGTTTTTTTGACTGCCAAACCATGTCTTGCTTCTGTCTTATTTTCGGAATTTTTTGAAATTTAATTAAAAAAATTTGAAGATGATGATGATCGTGAAGATAAGAAAAAGAATTAAACATAGTCACCAGAACCGACCATTCCATGTTTTCCATTCTTTTATTTTTTGGTAAGTTTTCATTTTCAGATACGACTGAGAAAATAAATCTAAAGTCGGGTTAATCATTTTTTGACCGACTGATCAAAAATTAGTTGGCTGAATTTGTTCGATTTTCTCTAAAGTCAGTTTAATTTTAATTTTTTTTTAAAAAATCATTGGTGCCGATTTTCATTTTGTCTACAACAACTCGATCGATTACTCGGTCTATGTGTGAGAAAGAAAAAATGCATATTTATCTTCAAAATATGAACATATCAAGAGTAAAGCATGTGTTGGCTAAAGATTTTAGAATATTTTATAAATGTGAAAATAAAATTCTTTAGGATAAAGCGTCAGACAAGCATGCTTTGGGATAATGTTATCACAATCGAATTCGCAAAATGCAAGTAGAAATAAAGCATACCATATGGTTCAATCTCTAATTTGTCAGTGTAACTGCATTTGCAACATGTATCAGCAGTTTAATCAACAGTATCAAAATTAAAGCTGAGGTCATTTTTTTTATAACAATCATCTTCGTCTTGATTATTACTTCTAAACAAAGACTACTGATAACATTTTATAAAATCATGGATACTGAAAACAATACAGAAAAAAGTCTAAAAAGAGGCACAAGTACAACTAAACCCATTATTGAAATTTGAATTCTGATTCTGCTGTCTTAAAACCCAAAGTTACAGTGTTTAAATTACAACATAAATGGTTTAGTGACATGCAACATAAAAGTAAATATCCAAAATGTTTACCGACAACTTTTCAGCTGATCCCCTTAGTAGTCATCACCTCTAGATATAACTTCTTTGCAGGTCGGCCGCAGCAAGATTGTATGTTCGAACTGAGACACGTAGCTACCCTTAACATCGCATAGAGGAGGATAAGGCTGCAACGAAATACCAACTTCTTCATTAATCTCAACTTTTGTAACACATAATGAAAACATGGCAAGCAAATTCAGTCAAACAGCTAAACAAATACAAGTTTAAAACTATAAAAGATAGCTTCTTTAGCAATTCCTTTGATTCTGTTATTTAAGCATAAACACCATGATAATATCAATCTCCCTTTTAACCTACTTTATGTATTATCACCAACTGGCAAAGAACAACATGGTTATGCTCTCTATTTTTATTGAAGAACCCATATCTGATGCATATCCAGGTTCAAGGACTATACTCATCCAACAACCCTCCAAATACATTGACCTCTATATGGGTGGGTGCAAGTCGCTACCATAAAGCTAAATGGTGGCTAAAATAATTTGGAATAGCAGGTCCACATGGCCCAAATTATACAAGAAAGCATTGAAATCATAAAACTGAAGCAGTGAAGATCAATAGCAAGATGCTCTACCTGAACAATGCCAGCATCACATAAATTCTTCAGTGCCATCAGATATTTGGTCTCTCCCAAACGATCCAAATACCGTCTACAGAAGGCCAACGTAGAGAAGTTCTTATTTATTGTAGCTAGTAGCTGCTTAGCTCTAGGCAACCTCAGTGGAATATGTCCGGCATCAAAGTTTTTCATATAATGGCTGCATTCTAGATCTTCTCTGACATACCCTTTCCCTGCAAAAAAAGTCAAAACATATTTCTGGTTAGAGATACATACAAACCACCATCTACTATGTAAAAGATTCAATTCCCCATCTAATGAGATATATTACCAGTAGAACCAAAGGTTTCGATGGCAAAAAATTCACCCTCCTCCATTTTTGTTTGCTCTCCACCTTTCACAATAGGAACCGATTTTCCAGCATGAATCTGATAGGGCCCAATGCTGTGTCCATTCAAGTTACGTATGCTTTTTACTGCCAAAGACATTTAAATACCCTAGAGAAAGTTCATATAAAGACAAGATATAAAGGACATCTTATTACTAATATGGACTTTTGTGTGCTCTATGTATGGTAAATAATTTTCATTTATTTATTTTGATAAAAGTTGGAGGTCTCATTAAAAACTACCTTCGTATTCTTCTACATACTAAGAAGTATGTTGAAGAACATTGGAAGGTAGAAAATAGTGCCTCATAATTTATTAAATAGAACACCCATTACATGTGAAAACACCGAATACCCTCATACGGGGATATACGCCATTACAAAAAAAAAACAAATCACCTAAAAATCTACTATCATCAACCACAAAGCCCCAAAGATAATAACCCTATTTCTAAAATAAACCTCAATCAAAAGGGTAAAAAAACAACGCAAAAGATCATAGCAGAACAGAACAACACTGTCAACCATGAAAACTAAAAGAAACGCCTCTGCATAGAGCTCCAGAACAGTTACGATCCAATTGAATGAACCAGTTCTAATGAATTATCGCAAGCTTCAAGGACCCAAGAATTTGGTTTGAAGGAAGGATCAATTTCATGCACCATGATGTTGAAGAAATTAGAACCGACATTCAACTCCAACGACTCATCAATTCTCACTTGAGACTTTGTGAGTATTTGAATTTTTGCCCGATCAAAAGGCGATGGAAACTCGCAGCTATCGTCGATTGCTAATAATTTGCCACACTTAGCTGCAATGTCTTTGAAAGTATCCCAATTCCAAGCATGAAAAGTAACCCTTTCGCAAACTAACCACACTTGACAACACTCTACCATCAAACTCTCTGACCAAGCTTCAACTCTGGAAAACCATTTTGCAAGAGTCTCTAATTTTCCATTCTTCACACTTCTCAACGAAGCAGAGTCTTCAGAAACCATTAGAACAACATTTCCAGCAGCTCTCATTAACGTGAAACCAGCGAGTCCTTTGGCTAGCAAGATTACCGATTTTGATGAAGTTCTTGCACCACCCTACCAGATAGTTACTCAACACTTGAAGTTTATCTTCGTCCACAACACCCTTAACTTCACAGTGTTTATTCCTCGAAACAACTTCCATCCCAGACTTACGTTGAACAACTGTCGATGACTTTCTCCAATAAGACTGTCGAGGATTATATTTGGCCAAAGAGACTAATTTTGCTGCCGTAAATATGAGAACCATTCATCTTTGATATCGCTTTCCTTGCTTCTTCAATTGTTGCGAAGCGAATGAACCCAAATTGAACCCCTTTGGAATTTCTTTTGTTAGGAATAAAGGCATCAATTACATGACTGTGATTACAGAATAAAGATCCAAGTCTCTTCCAATGGATCTTCTCTGGTAAGTTTTCAATGAATAACGTGAAACATCCACTTCTGAACCTATTCCTAACATTTGTATGGTCTTTCTTCCACCAATCATTAAAATCGATTCTCCCAACTCTTGCTCCTTCACCATACTTGTTACCAGAACAACTCGACCTCAACTTCACCTTATCAACTCCCATTCTACTACCTTGATAATTTCCGAATGTAGAAGCACTTGCCGAATGCTTCTGATTACCACCAAAACCACCATTGATAGTCTCCTTCACAACATCTAGATTCTTCCATACACGACCTTCAGCAAGACACTCTCCTGCGCCCCAAAATCAGCAAAATTTGGGAACATATTCAACGGGGTCAGGTGAAAGTCCAATATCAACCAATCCTTTGAAGAATTGCTCTGCTAAAGCAACATTGGACTGTCAACCACCTGTTGTCAGAATTGATGACACTGGTTTGTCTCCTTCACGAGGGAAATATAGGATTGGAAAGGTTTCTTTAGTACAGAAATCACCACGAAGGGGTATTCCAAAGAAAAATTTTCCAAAATAGCGAGAAGGAAAAGAAATAGGTTTCATAATTGGTGGAAGGAAGGCCAACCTAAAATCGATAATGAGTTCAGAAATGGTTGTTACACGTTATTTATCGAAAACCTTCCATAGAAGATCCGTTGGAAGAGACTTGGATCTATATTTGGCACACACGGACAAGTTATTGATGCATTTATTCCTAACAAAAGAAGCTCGAAAGAGATTTGTTTTGGGTTCATTCGCTTTGCAACAATTGAAGCAAGGAAAGCGATGTCAAAGATGAATGGTAATCATATTTACGACAGCAAAATTAGAGTCTCTTTGGCTAAATATAAACCCCGACAATCTTACTGGAGAAAGCGGATAAAGTCCTCGACAGTTAATCAACGGTCTGGGATGGAAGATGTTTCGAGGAATAAACACTGTGAAGTTGAGGGTGCTGTGGATGAAGATAAATTTCACGTGTTGAGTAACTATCTTGTCGGGTGGTGCAAGAACTTTATCAAAATCGATAATTTTGCTAACCAAATACAAGCCAAAGGACTAGCTGGTTTCACGCTAATAAGAGCTGTTGGAAATGTAGTGTTAATGGTTTTTGAAGACTTTGATTCGTTGAGAAGCGTGAAGGATGATAAATTAGAGACTCTTGCAAAATGGTTTCCAGAGTGGAAACTTGGTCAGAGAGTCTAGTGGTGGAGTGTCGTCGCGTGTGGTTAGTTTGCGAAAGTGTTCCTTTTCACGCTTGGAATTGGGATACTTTCAAAAACATTGCAGTTAAGTGGGGAAAACTATTAGCAATTGACAACAACTGTGAATTTTCATCGTCTTTTGATCGGACGAAAATTCAAATACTCACAAAGGCTCAAATGAGAATCGATGAGTTGTTGGAGTTGAAGGTCAGTGCTAATTTATTCAAAATCATGGTGCATGAAGTTGATCCTTCCTTCAAACCTTATTCTTGGGTCCCTAAAGATTGAGATATTTCATTAGAACTTGTTCCTTCAACTGGATCGTAACTGCTCGTCAGCTATATTTTGAGGCGTGTTTTTAGTTTTTGGTTGCAATTGTTGGTTTTTATTTTGTTATGTTCTTTTGCAACTTGAGGTGTATTTTAGAAATCGGGTTACTATC